AAAAAAAAAAAGAAATCAACGATTGGACGACAAAACAAAAGAATTTTGTGGGAGATTAATGCGCGAGAGAATATCGAGGAATTGTTACGCGACCGGTCTGAGAGGGACGGCGATTAAAAATGAACACCAGCCCGCGAGGCCGGCCTTTAAGAATGAAAAAGAATGGCGCGGAGCCTCGGTAAAAGCGGTGGACTACTCTATTGTGCGAAACTATGTCACAGGGACTCGGCGTTCGTAAGGTAAGAGCGAAGTGAAGAGTGCTCCTCGCCGACCATTTTTCATCTCCAAATGATTTCTGCGTCGTATCGTGCACGAAACACTTTCTGGCGACCGCGAAAGGGATGCGCGGGATCAAAGTCGGCTCGGGTGCGCGCCAAATGTTTCGGCCGGTCAGGGACGCCCTAGAATTACCCCCACTCCGGATACTCGACCAACGATTTCGTCTGCTTCGACCTTCCACACACCGTGTGGATCCAAGCACGCATATCTATACATTTGCGTCTTTAAAACTTGATCTTAGACGTTAAAAAAATTGCGCATTATTAATTTAGAATTTTTATTGCAAGTAATAGATGAAATTCAATCTCAGTTTTGCTTGACGCGAGCCTACGAGGTCATCTATGCGAGTTAAAATAGTTTCTTATAAGTCTTTTACCTTCCATCGGTAAAAAGAGATCGCTTTGTATCAGTTTCTATATCTACAGAATTTCTAATATTTATTCGGTACAAGAGTGCTTTTACTTATTTATTTATAAAATGCTAACTCTACCTGAAAATTGACGCCACTACGCCTAAGATATATTTCATACGACGAGGATCAAATTTTGTCCCCATTCGTTTGATAATTTCTTCGTTCGTCTAAATCAACGACAACGAACGATATATTAATTTACGGCTCTCACGCACGAGTAATCGTCACAGCGAATTACGCGTTCGCGGAATTCGTACGCCCCGATAAATCTGCGCGACGAATCCACGTGATAAGGGAACAACAAATCCCTGTTGAAACCTTCCTGGCCCGATTATTTATGTTAATTACGGCCGAAGGAAACAAGGTGAAACACAGGGCACGAGACACTCGAGGATGCAATTGGCTGCACTGCAGCCCTCTTCTGCTGCAAAACAGAATTAATTCGAGTCTTTCGCGAAGGGAGGGCACGGAGGGAGAGGGGAAGAGTACTCGAGCTTCTAACGAAGTAGAATTAATGACGGAACTACCAGCTTTTCGCAACTTCGATATATCCCTTTACGAGCATGGAAAACTATACGACCAGTCGATATGCGCGTTCACGACGCGTTAGACCCTTCAATCGTAGCGATGGGTCGTTCAATAGCTCATGCAAGGGCCAATTATGCGTCTTAAGCACGGCGTAATGAAAAAAAATTTGAAGGAGAAATTATATGCGTATGTATAGTGCTTATATATACATGTAGCGCGTAGGATGGCAGCTCGGCGCTTTCAAGCTACAAAATCGGACGTGCCTGTGACTTGAAAGCAGGGTTGGTGTAGACTTTTTATCTTTAACCGAGGTCCAGCGCCATTTGTAGTTCTACTTAACGAAATTAACTTCGCACAATTACAGCTGGCCCATTTTAAAGTGAATCGATAATCTTGACATTGTCACTTGAAAGCGGGGTACGCAGCGATTTTAACCTTCAATCAACAATGGTGTTCAAACCCGCGTTGGGTCGTGTTTAGGCTCATTTTCAACGGCGAAATCTCGTGCATTTAATGTTGATACAGAGACAAAATAATTTCTTAAAAATTAAACTCGACCATCATCGCGAATAGGAAAGCTCGAAAAAGAAGTGAAACGTTGCAATTTGCAGGAACACACAATTGGCTTTTTCAGGGTTAGGTGAACCCGGGGAAAAATTGTGTAATAGCAATATCTCCTGGGGAAAATTACTCCCGCGAGCACTTAGTAAGTACAATTTATTTCAGCGACGCGGAAATAAAAAAAAAATGAGAGAAATGTCGGATCAGCCAAGCGAATAAGTTGCTCTCTGCTTGTAATGTGAATACTAACTCAAGTTCCACGCCCGTGATAGAAATTACTTTCAAGATTAAATGTCTCGAGAACCTTCCATGGTTCTGGAAAAAATGCATTTTTCTGATAAAGCCAGCATTAGTGGGGCAATTACTAACTAACAGACGTTTTTCGAAAATAATTAATAAAAACAAAAATTAAACGCAGATCAAAACTTGCGTACCGACGAAATTCTCGTAAAAGTCGAGAGATAAACGAATTCTATACCGAATATTTGGGGAAAAATGTAGAATTTGCAAAACGGAAATGAATGCACTTTTTCTCTTCGTGAAATTCTACATAAAACATTTGAACATCCGACGATTCAACTGGAATTATTCGTGCAATGATTTCGTAGGCAATATTTTGTAACTGCAGCGATAAACGTGGAAAATCGACAGGATCGAATG